TCCATCTTGGAATATTCAAAAAAGTTGAAAACCAATTACTACAAATTATAATTTTTAAGACATAAAGTTGTAGCCAATAAGATTATAACACTCTTACAGATTTTTAACATATTAATAACAATGGCCTTTCCCAAAATTCTTAAACCAACTTCAAGTTGAGAAATAATTAACTTTTATTTTTCATTTTTTTAAAATTAATTTATTAGGAAGATGAAAATTCATTGATTTTAATATCATTCATAGAACCCGGTTTTCAAAATAAACAAAATAGATACTTACATCCTATGATTTTTTTAAATACATTATTCAAATGGAACATAAATCTTTCCATCCATATAAATAATCAAAGACAATCCTATACCAAAATAAGTTCTTACCAACAAAAGACGAAGTTGGGATATCCTAAGGAGTGTCTCTGGCATCATCAAATTATTAAACCTTGAAACTTTTAAAAACATATCATTTATTCAAATTCATAAATCATAGATATAAAAATTTATAAACAACAAGTACCAGATACATATATCAATTATATTAAGCATGTATAACCAATTACATGCAAGAATTTCAAATTTACTTCTCACATGCATCATCATATGTATCCCGACGTTATAATTACAATAATCTTAATATTAAGGTACTAAAAACATCTTTAAAATTACTAACAACAATGATTTAGGAATAAAAATAATATTTTATTATAAATTTTACGTCTAAATGATTTAAAAATAAAAAAAGTTATTTAAAATTATTTATATAAACAATTTCGATCAAATTTTAATTTATTCATTTATAGAACTCATGAAGAAAATATTCAATTTTATTTATAAACAATTTTAGTTAAAAACTCTATTAAAATATATTTAAGGATCCCTCGACACACTACCAACATGCCTCCCCAGTTAATGTTGGTTTTATGCTAGTCTAGAAAGTCCCCGACGATAATGGGTATAAGATACATGTGCACCAGCCCCTTGACGATAAATGTAATGGATATAACCTCCACTAGCCTCTTTGACCAAAAATATGGTCAAGACTCAAGAGTCTGTCTACTCAGTAAATGAGTGTGAATTTATGTGGTTCTACTAATTATTTACCACCCAATCATATAAAAAGATTGAACATTTATTCACCACCCTACACCCATGTTTATATAAAAAACGATTGTAAATGTCAATATCATAATTTCACATAATTCGTTACTCTGTCGTAACACATCCTTATAATAAAGCTTAATATTTTTTATTTAGTGTCATTCTAATTCGAATATCAAACACATAATTTAATGAATTGTTCAATGAAAGTATTATGTTTGTGCTTAGTAGGTCCCGCAAATCAGTCAATAATAAATTAATAATATTAGTCATAGAATAAGCAATATTAATTATAATTTAATTAATTTAAAAAATTAATACACAATTATAGGATGACAAATAGTAGTTTGTCCCATTTTGGCCTGTTCAGTCTTTGGCCTACCAAAAATAGGACGGGATGGACTAGTCCGCTATAGTCATAGCGGGCTACGAGTTTCAACTGCCACTGTAGTCGACGGGTTGACCCATCATATTTCTTATTTTATTTTATTTTATTATTTTTAAATCAAATCTTTCAATAAATTTAATAATAAAATTATCATTATCAACAATTCAATATATATATATATATATATATATATATATATATATATTTAAGTTAATAATATAAATTGATATATTATTTTAATAAATTATATTTTAGAAAAATTAAATTAAGATAAAATTTATATAATAATAAATACATGTATGTAACAATAACAAATATAAAAGAGAGTAAAAAAAGTATGAGATATATATGTTTTTTATCTTACGAAGAAGGATGAGTAAGAAAGAGATGATGAGTAAGAGGAGAGGAAAGAGAGAGGAGTTTGTGTTTGAGAAAGGAAAGTGTTTTCATGAATTTAAATAATTATAAAACTTTTTGAGATTTTATGAATTTTTTTATGAGACACTGAAACTTTTAGAATTATCTTCTCATAAATCTTTATATTATATATTATTTTTTTAACTCTTTGTATTATATCACAATAAAAAAAAATTATTAGTAAAGCGGGTTGCGGGTTAGCCCGACGGGTTGGCGGGGCAGACAAAGCGGGCTGATGAACTGAAAATACTAACCTGTTCCGCCATATTATGGTGAGTGGCGAGCCGACCCAACAACCTGACCCGTTTTACCATCCTACACAATTGAATATAAATTAAATATAAAAAGATAAATAGAATCAAAATCTCATTAAACGAGTTATAATTATAAAAATAAATAAATAAAATAAAATTAAAAATACTTCACTAAATAATAATAATTATAAATAAAACAATAAATATCTAATTTCTTTACCTCAATAATTATATATTATATAACAAAATTCCATTTATATATTTTCTTTCTCTTCTTTTTTGAATTTTTTTTATTTCTTCTTCACCTTTTTTTTCCTCTCTTTTTTTTTCATTTTTTTCTCTTTCTTTCTCTCTTAACTCATATTTATACTCAAAATGGGTTTTATTTTTATATTTTTTAATACTTACTATTAATTATAATTTTATTTATTCATCTAAGACATACAGACAACTTTAGTTTTTTTTTCATAATTATTATTATTAACTTTTTGATTTTTTTAATAATAACTTATTATTTTAACAAAGTAATAAAATCTTTATATAATATAATTTTATTTAAAAAATATTATATTATAAATTTTTAAAATATTATACTATTAAATACGAATTGAAAATGAATAAGAAAAGGATTTTATAGCTCGATTTTAATTTTTTTTTAATTTTAAGAAGAAGTCGTATTACTACGATTTCTAACTTTTATATTAATACTAAAATAATAATTTTATTTTATAATTATTAATATTTTTTATTAATAATAATAAAATAATAATATAAATTTATCAATAATTTTATTATTAATTATAATTAAAATAATATAAATAAAATAAAGAATAATTAAGTATATTAAAATTGTTATTAGTTATAGAAATAAAAATCATTTTATAAAACTAATTATAATAATTATATAATAATAGTTACTAAAATATAATAATTGTAATTTTATTATTTTGTTATTATAAATAATAATAATGATACTATTTTTTATTATATTATTTAATTATTATTATTATTATTATTATTATAACTAATAATAAAATTAATAATGATAGATAATTAAGAATAAGATGATACTATTAATAATTTAATTATATTATTTCATATTAATATTGTTTTATTATTAATACTATTATTTTTATAATAATAATAATAATAATAAAAATAATTAAATAATTATTAGTAATAATAATAATATAAATTTAATTAGTATTATTATTTTTTATTTCATTATTAATAAGAGAAGTCGGTATAAAAAATAATATGACTTTTATGCATATTTACATAGAGGTATTACGATTTCTTTTTAAACTAAAAAAATGATTTTTTTTTAAATTGTTCAAATCTGTAATTCTTTTTAATTTACTCATTAGTAAATTTATGAAAAAATGGCATAGGAAACCAACAAAACACTATTTGATAACTTTATACATTAATAAATTTTAAGTCAATGTGTTTCCATGAATAAATATGTACATATTGTGAATGGAATTTGTGTTTTTCTTGTACCCCGTGGGTCCCTCCCTCATGCAATGCATGGACTTCCAAAATTAAATGTTACTTAAATTACATATATCTTTTTTATATTTTTGTTTCTCATAATAAATAGTTTATGTTCGATAACTGAACATTTCACTTTTATATAATTCTTTTTAATGTATGGAATGACAATCACCTGATAAAATTATATCAATTTGACTCTATCAACGATGTAAACGGTAGTGTTGGTCATATACCGTGTCAACAGACCAGTTTAATATATTTAAGAAAATTAAAAATTAAAAATTAAACAAACTATTCTAAAAATATAAAAGTATAATTTTAAAATTTTAATTGTATGATTAAAATCAGTTTCAATTTTTAAAATAATGAATTAACATATAAATTATAATATACACATTCACATTTTAATAAAATAATATTATTTTTAATTTAAAAATTAATTATTTTACAAATAAGGTAACCAATTAAATTAGTTTATTATTGGTCTGATCTAACTCTACTGAAGTTTTAAAGCAATAAACTTCATTAAAGCAATAAACTTCTATAGTTGAAGGTTATATCTCTTTTCCATGTTTAGATAGTAAAATCTGATTGTTAAATTTTGTATCCTTAATAATTTCACTTTCACTTGATGCATGTATTTATAATAGAAGACCGTCACTAGCACGGCCATTAAAAAACCACTTAAACTGCGCCAAATGTTTGTGGTTAGATAGAAGCCAACAATGTTTATAATATAGCCACAACATCATACACATTCACAAAAGCAACCTAGTTAAGACATGTAAACTCTGACCACGGGACAAGCACAAGAATGACAAAAATTCCTTCTGGCACCAGTTAGATTAGGGAATTAAGTAGAAGCTGTAATCGTGAGCCAAAAACAAAAAACTCTGGATCCGTTTAATTTTTGCCAAGTCACTTCCAAATAGCATTCTAAACACATAATAGGATTTACAATTTACAAACGCATGACAAAGCTTGTTTTGGGCCAACACATGATTAATATAACAACCTCAACGGATTCCAACACATGAATACCAAAAATACGCCATGATGCCAGGTGGATGCTTTGTACAGAACTAAAACAAATGAAATCCTGTGTGTTTGCGTTGTTGCCTCCATTATTTACACGTACGTCCCAACCACACAGAGTTTTCGGAATATACAAAATCTGCAAACGAAGAAATAAATTTAATAGAACTTTTGACTAGAGAAAGAAGGGAAGGTTGAAGGTGGTGAAGCCATCACCATCTTCAACACCATCCCCGTAACCTCTGTTTTCACAACCATCCATCGATTGATCGCCTTTGTTTGGGACATATCCAAATAATCATCAAGAAAAGGAAAATGAGGGTGTGGCAGAGAGCCACTGGAGCCATTAAAGACAAGAACAGCATATGGGTTGCAAAGTTCGGACGACGGAGTCCATTCCACAACCATGAGTTACAAGCTCTGGTAATCAAAGCCACGAGCCATGATGATAAATGCATAGATTATAAGAACGTGCAGAGAGTGTTCCAATGGCTCCGAACCTCACCCTTGTACCTGAAACCTGTTGTGTGGGCTCTCTCCATGCGCATGCAAAGGACTCGAAACTGGGTTGTGGCGCTGAAAGGCTTGATGCTCATCCACGGCGTTTTCTGCTGTGACATCCCTGTGGTGCAACGCATAGGGCGGTTACCCTTTGACCTCTCAAACTTTTCTGATGGCCATTTGAGCACGGCAAAGGCTTGGAGCTTCAACGTTTTCGTTCGTGGTTATTTTGCGTATTTGGATAAAAGAGCGTCGTTTGTGTCCTCCGAGTTTACAAAGATAAACAATAGCAAGGAGATGGAGGTGGAGGAGACGTTGATGGAAGAGCTCGAGTGTTTGCAAAAGTTGCAAGGCATGATTGATATGCTTCTTGAGCTCAGGCCTCGGAATGAGAACAAGAATGTTGGGTTGATTCTTGAAGCCATGGATTGTGTTATAGTTGAGGTTTTCAGTGTGTATAGTATGTTTTGCAGTAAAATTGCCAAGGTTTTGTTGAGGATATATGAAATGGGTGGGAGGATTGAAGCGAGTATTGGCCTCAAGGTTCTTCAGAAAGCATCGATTCAAAGGGGGGAATTATCTTCGTTCTTTGAGTTTTGCAAGGATATTGGGGTCCTCAACGCCTCTCAGTGCCCCAAGATTGATAGAATTTCTCCTGAAGATATTCAAGAACTTGAGATGATAATCAATGGTGCCTCTTCCAAGAAGGGTGGTGTTGTGGCAAATGATGAGGACAAGGCAATTGTGGTGAGAGATTGTTCTGCCATTGCACCTGTTTCACACCAGAGGGAGCCGGAGAATGGTTTGATGACCGTCATCACTCACCAATGGGAGCTTTTTGATGATGATGTGATGGATGATGCTACAGGAATGCATATTGTCTCTAATGGAGAGAAGGATAGTCGCATCACAACCAACCCTTTTGAGGAATCATACAGCATCGTACCTTATCTTCCTGTTCACAATCAACCTCTTCCGGATCTAATTAGTTTTTAGCATTATAGAACCGATATTTACTTTTAACTTCGCTAGATTCATTATGCTATATGTTTATTAATCTTCTGGGGGGAAGGAAATTATATGGGAAAATGGAATCCAAAGGGGCAACGTTCTTCTTGTTCATTCTCTTTTCCACATTAGCAGAAGAAGTGGTGAATTCGCCCTTCTTCTGACATAGTAAAGTTACATGACATATATTCTGTTCTATTGTTGTTGAAATATGATAATTAGATATGAAATTACAGAATATTTGCCGTCATCTATATTTATTTTTCCTCGCCCTTGGATCGATCTTCAATAGCTTTTTAAGAAATTGAGCATTGTAAGTTAGGAAGCATGTAGATCATGGACCTAACCCAAATTTAACTTTTCGAATTTTCTGTAAAATGTGATAGACATTCTTAGTGTATTCCAGTAATGGAACAGGGGCACTACATTAATGAAAAATTTATCGAATCTGATGGGATCACTACTATGATTACCCTAAACCCCAAATTACATCAACAATTGAAATTGTTTCATCTCCCCGTTTATGTGGAATTGTTGGGAAAATCCTACCCAAGGAGATCGTGAAAGTCATTATCTCTAGGAGGAATTGCGAGGACGCACCGCCAACGTCACGCCCATGCTTCTCACGAACCCTAGTGAGAATGCTTCACCTCGACGGTACTCTTAATGTGGCAAAAATGTTTCGTCAAAAAACAATCTCAATATTTCTCGCTCGTAAAAAATAAGGTGGAGTAGATTGATCCGCCGAAATTAGAATAAGTTATAAATCTCATCTCACTTTATCAAAAGATAGACTTACAGGTAGGTGGGTCAACCTACCAATAATTTTTGGTTGTTTAATCGTATTTGTTGTCACACCAACACCTGTCTTGATTTTCATTGAATAGTAAACAATATTTTGATTTTTAACTTTAATGGAATGTTCCTACTTTATTTTTGTTACTTGCTTGTAGTCTTCATAACCTAATGACCTTTTTAAATATTTGAATAAAAGATATATACGTAGGGTTACAACATCTATAAACAAGATCATAATCATAACGGTTTATCCATGATGGTGACATGTTGAATTAGACCACCAAAGTAAATTATACCTTTAATGAAAATAAAAATAATGTTGTTATGGTTCAAGGAAAAGGTTGACAAATTTTATCATGTTTTCTAACTTGTAAGTGTTTCTCAATGGATAAAAAGACAAATTCTAATTTTCTATTTTTCTTTTTTAATTTATGAAATTTGTTTCAATTTCTAGATCAAATTGCAAAGATTTATCAATATGAGATCTAAGCATTCAACTCTTGAACTTGACAAATAAAAATATAAAAAATTGAAACTAACAAAAAATAAAGAAAAATTCACCACTAGACTAATTTTGCTTATCAAAGACACTACTAGAAAAATGTTAAATAGTAACCGAAATCAGTGACCGAAAAATTTAGTTACTATCGATGATCGAATCGATAACCAAATTATTATTTTTTAGTCTAGTAACTAGAAATAGTAACCGAATTTTCGGTCACATAAAATCGGTTACTATTTCAGTCACTTTATTATTTAATTTATTTTTTTAATTAATCTATATTTAATTTATGTAATTATTAATTTTTTTTATATTTAGTAACTCGATTTAGTGACTAAAATTTCAGATCACTAAAAAAATAATTTTTTACATCGATAACTATTTTTCATTTATATAAATATTTTATTTAAAATATTTTAAATATAAATTTACTTAATAATTTAAAATAATTGATAACATTTTTAATAACATTATAAATATTTTAAAAAAATTGTTTACTAACTTATTAAATAATTTAGTAATATAATTATTTGATTTTATTTTTTTATTTAGCATGTGAATAAAAAAATTAAAATTGATTATTATATTAGTCACCGAATCGGTCACTAATTCGGTCATCGATTCGGTCATCGAATCGATCACCGATTCGGTCATCGATTCGGTCACTGAATCGATCATCGATTCGGTCACTAGAATCGGTCATCGATTCGGTCACTAGAATCGGTCATCGATTCGATCACCAGAATCGGTCATCGATTCAATAATTAAATTAATTATTAATTTAGTCTCTTTATATATATATATATATATATATATATATTACTTGTATGTTAATAAAAATGTATTTCAATGTATTTATAAAAAATTAAAATTATTTTAATTACTTGAATTGATATTTTAAATTTATATTAATATCTTGAATAATTTAATAGTTGGATATATATATATATATATATATATATATATATATATATATCACTTTAATTTTTTTAATTAAAATTAATTTCATAAAAAATTAATATTTGAAAATTAAAATGCAAAAAAAAAAAATATATATATATATATATAAATTTATTTATTTTTTAAAGATGATATATTCAATGTATGTTAAAAAAGTTCAAGCCAAACTGTTTTTATAGAAGATTTTCAAAACTGCTTGGTTTAATTAATCTGTTAAAATATTCTTTTAATCTGTTAAAAGTGCAGTTTTAATCTGTTAAAACTTCTTTTAATCCACTAATACGTTCTTGATTCTTTAACAAATTTGTTTTAACTGATACGACAACGTTTATATCAATTAAAACACTTTACAAAAAATCTTCTAAGTTGATTTAATTGATTGTTTCGCGATTCAATCGATTGAAATACTGCAAAACTTTCTCCTAAAACTTTTCAAGTTATTTTAACTGATAAAAATAAGTTTTAATCGATTAAAACGCTGTGGAGAAACTGTTTTAATCGATTGAAAAGAGATTTAATCGATTAAAATAGTTATGATCGGTCATAAATGCATTCTGACCGATCATAATTGAAACCATATAATAGCGGTTCAAGGGTTAACCGCTATCTAAGTCATATTTTAAGAGCGGTTCCTGTGTAACCGCTATCTAAACGTCATCTCGCTTGAGCGACAACATTCTCGCTCGAGCGAAACGCCCCCTGCACAAAATTAGTACTCTCGGGTTGTATTTCACTTGAGCGAGTCTATCTCGCTCGAGCGATAGTTGATTCTGATCGATTATATTTTCGAAATGATCGATCATATTTGATAATTTTTTCAAATAATTAATTATAATCGATTAGTTTTCTAAATTATTGATTAGAATTGATTAGTTTTTCAAATAATAGATTAGAATTGATTAATTTCTAAAATATATACTAAAAAAATATAATTAAAACTATAAATTAGTTAAGAATATTGACTATTGTAAAGATAAAGTAGAAACATGGGAGGAGATGAGGATGATAATATAATGATAGAACTTACAAAAATGTAGAATTGAGAAGTTTGAAACAAATAAAAATAAGAAAATAGATATTTAATTACACTTTTAATAAATTTAAGATAATACTAGTTTTGATTTTTATTTTTAAATATTTAAAACAGAGAAACTATAATTTTAGTTTCTAGCTACTGAATTTAAAGAATTAAATTTATTATTATTTAATCTTTTAATTTGTAGAATTAAACTCAATATAATTGTTAAAAACACTTTGTAGAGGCATTTGAGAAAGCTTTTGTCAAAATACTTTGTTTTTAATTGTTAAAAACATTTGTAGAGGCATTTTGCAAAACATAATTGAGATGATATGATAGCGGTTCCACCTAAACCGCTATCTAAAGTATAATTAAGATAGCGGTTAATGGTTAACTGCTATTAGAAGTGCACTTTTAAGAGCGGTTCCTGTGGAACCGCTATCTAAAATGTATTTCACTTGAGCGACAATATTCTCGCTCGAGCGAAACTCCAACTGCACAGAATTCACATTCTCGGGTTGTATTTCGCTTGAGCGACACTACTCTCGCTCGAGCGAAATACGATCCTGATCGATCATAACTTGAAATGACCGATCATAATTTAGAGGATATAATAGCGGTTCCCTCATAACCGCTATCTAAAGTGCATATTAGATATTCAGGTGTATTTCGCTTGAGCGAGACTACTCTCGCTCAAGCGAAATCCGATTCTGATCGATTATATTTTCAAAATGACCGATCATATTTGATAATTTTTTCAAATAATTAATTATAATCGATTAGTTTTCTAAATTATTGATTAGAATTGATTAGTTTTTCAAATAATAGATTAGAATTGATTAATTTCTGAAATATATACTAAAAAATTATAATTAAAACTATAAATTAGTTAAGAATATTGACTATTGTAAAGATAAAGTAGAACATGGGAGGAGATGAGGATGATAATATAATGATAGAACTTACAAAAATGTAGAATTGAGAAGTTTGAAACAAATAAAATTAAGAAAATAGAGATTTAATTACACTTTTAATAAATTTAAGATAATACTAGTTTTGATTTTTATTTTTAAATATTTATTTTAATTATTTCAAACAGAGAAACTATAATTTTAGTTTCTAGCTACTGAATTTAAAGAATTAAATTTATTATTATTTAATCTTTTAATTTTAGTATTAAAATTTTAAATTATATTTTATTAAATTAAAATAATTACAATATATTTTTCTCCTTTGAGAATGAACAATATAATTAAACTCAAAATTGACAATATTATAATACATTTTTGAACTCTTTTGGATTAATTTCTTTTTCCTAATTTTTTATAAAGTTAATTTTAATATTTAAAAGTATTTAACATTTTAAATTCTGAAAGGTTTTCTCTAATAGAAAATTTAAAAACATAATATAAAAAAAATAGTTAATGTAAGTTTTAATTATGATCGGTCATAACCGCATTCGACCGATCATAATTGAAACCATATAATAGCGGTTTCGGTTTAACCGCTATCTAAGTGAGCTTTTAAGAGCGGTTCCCCTTCTAACCGCTATCTAAAATGTATTTCGCTTGAGCGAAAAATTCTAGCTCGAGCGAAACGCCCCTGCACAAAAGTGGCATTCTCGGGTTGTATTTCGCTTGAGCGACTCTAATCTCGCTCGAGCGATGGTGCAACCGTTGTTAGTAAAGATATGTAAAGATATGTAAAAAT